TAGGGTTTAGGGCTTACATTTTCAGGGAGTTGTCCATCAGTAGTCGTTTAGAAGTTGAGCCCCCAAGCACGATGCCTCTCGCTGCCCTGAGCAACGCTGGATGCTGGTAAAAACCTACACATTCCAGAACCCTGAACACAAAGCCCAAACCCTATAATCTATAATCCCTACACCGAAAACTCCCATACTAAAATCCCCCTAAGCCCTCAATGTGCCGAAACCCTAGGCCCTATGCACCCTAAGCCCTGCACCGTGCACCCTCAACCCTGAACGCCCAATAGAACCATTAAGCAAAACTGTAGTGTAGGGGCCTAAATAATTGCCATGCAATACTGTTTTAGAGGTTCCTTAGTATAATTATAATTTATAATCGTACAAGGGGCCCCAAAACCCTATTCTAATTATTGAGGCCCCTATACCCTAAACCCCTATAGTAGCCCTTATAGAACCCTTGAAGGAACCTTTTAAAGGAACCCCCAACACCCTATTCTACTTATGAAGGCCCCTACCCCTACATTAGACGTTACGATGGCCTTGCTCCGATCCTCACTTTGCAGCGCCTGAGGCGATCAAAAACGCTGTAGGGCGGACGGTGTTGTAAGGCTTATAGGGTCTAGGGTTTAGGGGTTTAGGGTTTAGGGTTTTTGGGCTTCCCTTACTACGCTTTGGGCTTACTGCTTACGGGTTAGGCTTCGGGCTTACGGTTTAGAGCTTTAGGGATATTTAGGGTTGGGGGGTTGGGGGTCCAAGGTGCTTGTGCTCAGGGTTCACAAGCTCCACAGTGCAGGATTTAGTTTAGGGCTTGACTTGACCTTGCAGGTATCGGCCGCCGGAGAGTGCGATTCAGGACTCAGGGTGTGGAATGTTGGGGTCTAAGGCTTCACGTCCTATGCTTGAGGCTTCTGGGGCTTATCATGGTTTATCTACAAATTTGATAACTAGTGAAGTTTTGCGGATGTGGCCGAAGGCTTCTCAAAACTTCAGGGCTCAAAGGCTTGCAGTTCCAATAGCTTTGTGGTTGAGGTCTTGCTGCCTACTATAGTGCTCAGGTGTTTAACATCAGGGTGCTCGTCGTTGGGTTCGAAGTTGTGGGCTTCAGGGCTTTGCGAGTTCGACCTTCACGAGCAGTATAATAGGCGGATTGCACAAGGGGGATGACCCTATCATGACCATCGTCATCAGCATGATCAGCAGCATCACTGTCACCGCCATTTCGTCACATGCATCATCATTAAATGGTTCCACCTACACCGACAAGCTCCACAAAATCCTCGAAGTTCAATCTCAAACAAGCTGGCAAGCTCAAACCCCTGCAAGGCCTCGGACCCAGAACCACTGAAGTCCCAAGCCTTCGTTCGTGCTCAGAACATTCCAAACCTTGCTGCCGCAGCCATGCCAATCTTTGGCCGTAAACCATAAACAGTGAAGAACCCTGATACCCCTTCAGCTTCATGACAGACTGAGAGACAAACTTGAGATACATGTGAAGACTGTGAAGACCTGGCTAGTATGCACGCCCTTCATCCACACAGCCCCAAACTCACGCCTCTTCCCACAGAAGCAGGGTACAAACTTAGTTCTTCGCCCTACATACTAAAGCCCAATACCCTGAACCCCCTAGGCATTGCGTAAGCCCTCAAACCCATCAAATTCAAATCCGAGAACTCTAAACCCCGACTAGGCATTGCAGAAGCCTTCAAACCCATCAAATTCAATTCCCAGAACTCTAGACCCTATACCTTAACCCTCTAAGCACCAAATCCCAAATCCATGAATCCTCTGCTCCTAAACCCGACAGAGACGATGAACTCCCCGCAGCTAGAGCCGACATACAGCTCACCATCGGGCTCTACCAAAGGTGCCCTTTCGGGATCCTAGGAGGCGGCTAGATCTGTAGAAACTTGGGTTAAAGATTCAGGGCTTGAAACCTTTAGGATTTAGGGTTTCTGGGGGTTTAGGGACCTTTAGGATTTAGGGTTTCGGGTTTAGGACCTTTAGGATTTAGGGTTTATAGGGTTTAGGGACTTACAAACCAAAGCCTCTGTAACCCAAATCCCTCGATGCTTATTTGGCTACTAAGTTGTAGCCCCAGGGCAATCAACCCGTACAACCCTCAAGCTTGAACCTTTGTATCAAGCATCCCAGGACCGGCGAAGCCCCAACCCTGACCCTTCAACCTGAAACCCCTCAGCCTCGCAGCTCTGCGTCAGGGCTGTCAGTGCCGGCTGCAAGGGGGACCAAGGCCTCGTCTGCGGACTGTTTCTGCAAAGTGGGGGTTTGACCCAAGCTGCGCATGGTCTCTTGTTGACTCCCGGCACTTTCTCGTCATCGGGACATCGGGCTGCAGGGCATTTCCACCGGCAGATGTGTCTTGAAGACGTCAGCGACCTGTGAGACACGACGGCGATGGCCCAAGAGGGACGGCAAGGACTGCGGTGCCGGCAGCGGTGCAGCGGGAGGAAGCAACTCCTTAGTAGCCGGACAAAGCGTCCGGTGCTGTGGCAATGCAGCAGTGTTCGTGGTCGATGGAGGCTCCAGCAGCGGGTTGGGCACAGAATGCGCGTGGCTCCGCGAATGCATGGCAGTGTAGCCTTGCGATGCTCCGGCAGGCTTTGCGCCGGTGAGGAAAGCAAATGCTCCGATCATCCAAAGCGTGCTTTCCATCTCCGGCTCATCTCCACAGCTGCACCGGAAAGTCTGGCCGCTCATTTTCTCCAGGCAATTCACGCAAACAGCTCTGGAGCACTTCCTTGGTCTCTGTCAGGAAGGAGAAGGAAACAAATCCTTCTTATGGGCTCCCTTAAACTATCGGGAAATCCAAACCCCAACGAGCAAACAGGATGCGTAACGCTGACCAAGCTTCGGGCAATTGTAATCAAAAACGGATCCCAGGACCTGCTCGCAGCGGCTGCAGGTTTCTGGTACGGATTCATGGCAGCCTAGGTTCCGCGGTATCCCCTTATTATATGGGTACGCTTTTACCTAGATATTAGTTCCCTGTTGAGAGGGAGACACCCAAATACAAAGTGCAAAAATAGAGGGACCAAGCAACAGCTGCTGAACAGTCCACACCAGTGAGCTGAGCACTTTTCAAAGCTGACTTCATTTCGGTCGTCCTGGCAGAAGTGAGGCCAATTCCGGTGGGCAGTGCTGTCATCCGGAGGTGGCATCCCAAACGGACAGTCGTTGTGCTCATGCAGCAAATCGTCAGGCTTGATTGGCACTCCCGGTGGGAATTTAGGACTGAAACCTCCTGCCAAGCCCGCTCCGATTTGCGTAGACGCGGCTGACCATGCCTGTCGGTCAAAGCAATGCTCTGTGGGCGCAGGAGATAACAGCCCCTGTCTGCCGTAGTCATAGTCGTACACCGTAGTCGCTTAAAAAAACCGTGGCTATCGTCCGCCGTAGCTTTCAGTTGGTGCAGGGGAGCACGGCGACAAGGGACCTTGCCTGCTGTAGTACTCGGACAATGTAAAGGACTCTGGTGTGCCAGACATCTCTGCACAGACGGGCAGGTTCGCCAAGGCTGCGAAAGCCGGCTCCTCCACTGGGGGAGTGGAGGTACATGACGGATCCGACACATTATCC